AGCAGCAAGTCGTTTAGGAGTGAGCAAAGTCCATTTTTTCAGTAGTAGTAGTTACAGGGATGAGCTCCTCAGGTATAAGCCAGTTAGGACAGACTGCGACAGCCCAAAGGTAACATAGCTGAGCAAAGTCCTTTGCTGTAGCAACAATTGGACAAGCTTTTCAGAACACTAGCCAGTGTTCCCTGTCCTTTCCAGACCCTTGCTGACTATCAAGCACCGGGGGAGGGGGGAAGGGTTCTAGCAAGCACACAGAGTCCCCAAATTCCTCAATGTCAGTACTCACAAAGCCCATAGTTGCCTTCTTCCAATTGAAACTCTCCAGTGATACCTGACAGAGCTTTGGCAGACAGCCTCCCTTAGGCAGCTTACTGTAGTGCAAGGGTCACTTTCTCTAGCTTCATGCCCTCAGGTTGACCCACCTGAGGCTGCATGGCAGCCAGTGTCAGACAAGGGAAGACTGTCTCCAGCCTTGCTTGGCTCAATCCTCTCCTTGGAAAGACGCTGAACCCATGTGCTCATAGAACATAAAATACTACTACGAGCTGGCAATGGGACTGCCCTAACCTTCAATTGACAAGGGCAGTATCTATATTCATGCTGCTCATTTGCCCAGTTCCCTCCCAGGTTCTGGAAGGCGCTCATAGCTTCCTGAAGGTGGGCAGAGCTCAAGGCAAATTACTAAAAACTCAAGGCGACCAAGAATGTTGCATTACAGCCCCAGTGTCAGGGCTCCGGGTATGACCAGAGGTATGTGAACTGACGCAGGGAAACGCAGGCTTCAGATATGTCATAAAACAATATAATTTATTAATACTAACATTACAAAACGCAGTGCAATACTAAAACATAAACAAAGTGCAAACGAACCAAACCACCCACAGATAACAATACATACAATGCAAGCGTAGTCAGGCAGGCCGGGTCAATAACAATCGGGCAGGTAGGAACAGGAGGAGCAGGCAGAGAGTAGTCAGGTCACGAGCCGGGTACAGCAACTAACGGGCAGGTAGGTACAGTGGGTCAGGCAGAGAATGGTCGGGTCACAAGCCAGGGATCAAACAGGAGAAGTCAGCAGAGGTCAGGATCAAGCAGGGTCGGCAACAAGTCAGTCAGGCAGGAACAGGAATGCAGGTAACAAGATACAGGGGCCCATGGAAAAATACACACCAAGGCACAGACTGCAGGTCTGGCCATCCCTTAAATACACCTCTGTAATCAGCTTCAGGTATTTGGCTGACTGCAGGGTTGAGTCTCTGATTGCTGAGAGCACCCGCTGGCCAGCCCTGGTATTGCAGCCCACAAGGCAGGTGAGTCCCACCATTACTGGCAGGTCCATTCCTGACACCCAGACACTTGCTGGATCTCTGCAACTCTCAGATTCCACACTACGTTTGGCCCAGTAGAGCTGAGATTAATAATTAAACTGTTAGGCCTGCAAAACAAGAGGAACAAGTGGTCCACAGTAGGGAGCAACTTTTTATGAAACCACACTTTGGAAAAAAGCAATCTCTCATATCTACCAGCCACACTTTTCCCTCCAGCTTGACACATGGACTGTCATCAGTCAAAAGCAGTTATGGCTGCCTTAGTGAATGATCAAAGGATAGTGCCAGGGTTCACCACCACAGTTGTTTTTGAATATACCGCTTCTTGTTTTACCTGTTACCAAAAACTGAACATCCCTTTTAGGAGATTAAAAAAGGATATATCCAGATGCCCAAGTCAGAATTTTATGAGTATGCACTGGTCTGTATGGACATGTTTTCTGAATGGCCAGAAGTTTGACCAGTGGCAAATGCTACTGCAAAGGCCCTAGTAAAAAGTGTTATCAGAAGTTGTTTGTACAGAGTCCCAGAAGCTACAAAGAGTAACAGAGGAACTTATTTTTGGGAGAGTTTTTACAAGACCTTTTGAGGTTTTAATTTACACCCCCTACCATTCAGAATGTAGTGGAAAAGTAGAGTAACTAAGGGGATGTCAGACACTAGAAATTTATGGGTTGAATGTCTTCATATTTTTTAAGCACCTAAAGGGATATTGCACTCAGAGAGAGAAGGTTGCTGATCTCTTAAGGTTTTTGACAAACTCATTTATGTGTTTTCTCCCCAAATTCCAGATCCTAACAGTTTGGAAGGATTTCGTAAACTAAAGCCAAAAGGAACTTGTGGATTGTTAAGAGACATTTATACTGTATATATAAGAAATGTTTTGAGACACAATACAGCTTCTGTTTCTTGCACAGTTTACAAAATGTGAAGGAAAAGTCACCTGGATCCACACCAGACACTGCAAAAATGACTAAAAGTATCTCTGTGTTTAAATTGGTTTCCTGTTGGAATCACAGTCTGGGGTACTATTTATTCAAATTCTTAAATTATAATGGAGATAGAGATTTTATATAAATATATATATATATTATATATATATATACAGTGAGGAACAGAAGTATTTGAACACCCTGCGATTTTGCAAGTTCTCCCACTTAGAAATCATGGAGGGGTCTGAAATTCACATTGTAGGTGCATTCCCACTCTGAGAGACAGAATTAAAAAAAAAAATTCAGGAAATCCCATTGTATGATTTTTATGTTTCAATATTTTTATTGAGTTTTCAAGGATAAACATGGAAGAACAGGGAAAAGAGATAAGGTTAAATCATACAACATTACAGTAGACAAATATGGTTGATCAGTTTGTTGTAGAACTGCCCTCTGGACAGATGGGGTATTAGTCTTCTTTAGCAATATCATCAGTGGTATTTGTGTGCCTTTGAAGGGCCTTGGTGAGGAGTTAGGGGGATTAGGGGGGGATGGTGGTGGAGAGGTGAGGTGGGGGGGGTAGGGTGGGGAGGGAGGAATATAACTGGGGAATTGAGTAGATACCAGTCTTAGTGCGGGGACATTGTATGATTTTTAAAGAATGTATTTGTCTTGCACTGCTGAACATAAGTATTTGAACACCTGAGAAAATCAGTGTTAATATTTGGTACAGAAGCCTTTGTTTGCAATTACAGAGGTCAAACGTTTCCTGTAGTTCTTGACCAGGTTTGCACACACTGCAACAGGGATTTTGGCCCACTCCTCCACACAGATCTCCTCTAGATCTGTCAGGTTTCGGGGCTGTCGCTGAGCAACACAGAGTTTCAGCTCCCTCCAAAGATGTTCTATTGGATTTAGGTCTGGAGACTGGCTAGGCCACTCCAGAACCTTGATATGCTTCTTACGGAGCCACTCCTTGGTTATCCTGGCTGTGTGCTTCGGGTCGTTGTCATGTTGGAAGACCCAGCCATGTCCCATCTTCAATGCCCTGAGGGAAGGAGGCTGTTGCTCAAAATCTCACAATAAATGGCCCCATTCATCCTCTCCTTAATACAGTGCAGTCGTCCTGTCCCCTTCGCAGAAAAGCACCCCCAAAGCATGATGTTACCACCCCCATGCTTCACAGTAGGGATGGTGTTCTTGGTATGCAATTCTTTTTCCTCCAAACACGACGAGTGAAGTTTAGACCAAAAAGTTCTACTTTGGTCTCATCTGACCACATGACTTTCTCCCATGCCTCCTCTGGATCATCCAGATGGTCATTGGCAAACTTCAGATGGGCCTGGACATGTGGTGACTTGAGCAGGGGACCCTTCCGTGCAATGCATGACTTGAAACCATGACAGCGTAGTGTTCTACCGACAGTGACCTTTGAAACTGTGGTCCCAGCTCTCTTCATGTCATTGACCAGCTCCTCCCTTGTAGTCCTGGGCTGATTCCTCACCTTTCTTATCATCAGTGATACCCCACGAGGTGAGATCTTGCATGGAGCCCCAGTCCGAGGGAGACTGACAGTCGTCTCTAGCCTCTTCCATTTTCTAACAATTGCTCCAACAGTTGATCAATTTTCACCAAGCTGCTTGGCAATTGCCCCGTAGCCCTTTCCAGCCTTGTGGAGGTCCACAATTTTGTCTCTGGTGTCTTTTAACAGCTCTTTGGTCTTGCCCATGGTAGTAGGCGTCTGACTGACTGTGGGGTGGACAGGTGTCTTTAAAGAGCTCAGACAGGTGCTACTAAGATTAATGAGTGGAGTAGAGGTGGACTTTTTAAAGCACAGTAACAGGTCTTTGAGAGCCAGCATTCTTGCTGTTTCTTAGGTGTTCAAATGCTTATGTTCAGCAGTGCAAGACAAATAAATTCTTTAAAAATCATACAATGTGATTTCCTAATTTGTTTTAAATTCTGTCTCTCAGAGTGGGAATGCACCTACAATGTGAATTTCAGACCCCTCCATGATTTCTAAGTGGGAGAACTTGCAAAATCGCAGGGTTTTCAAATACTTCTATTCCTCACTGTATATATATATATATATATATATATATATACACATACGCACGAACGCACGCACGCACACATATACATACACACATACTATATTGCCAAAAGTATTGGGATGCCTGCCTTTACATAAACTTTAATGGCATCCCAGTCTTAGTCCATAGGGTTCAATATTGAGTTGGCCAACCTTTTGCAGCTACAACAGCTTCAACTCCTCTGGGAAGGCTGTCCACAAGGTTTAGGTTTAGGAGTATGTCTATGGGAATGTTTGACCATTCTTCCAGAAGCGCATTTGTTAAGTCAGGCACTGATGTCGAACGAAAAGGCCTGGCTCGCAGTCTCTGCTCTAATTCACCCCAAAGGTGTTCTATCGGGTTGAGGTCAGGACTCTGTGCAGGCCATTCAAGTTCATCCACCCCAAACTCGCTCATCCATGTCTTTATGGACCTTGCTTTGTGCACAATCATGCTGCAATAGGAGAGGGGTCATCCCCAAACTGTTCCCACAAAGTTGGGAGCATGAAATTGTCCAAAATGTCTTGGTATGTTGACACCTTAAGAGTTCCCTTCACTGGAACTAAGGAACCAAGCCCAACCCTTGAAAAACTACCCCACAACAATCTTCCTCCACCAAACTTTACACATGGCACAATGCAGTCAGGCAAGTACTGTTCTCCTGGCAACTGCCAAACCCAGACACGTCCATCGGATTTCCAGACAGAGAACACGTCTCCACTGCTGTAGAGTCCAGTGGTGGCATGCTTTACACCACTGCATCTGATGTTTGCATTGCACTTGGTGATGTAAGGCTTGGTTGCATGTCAGGGTCCTGTCCACGGCAGTAGTTCTGGAAGATCTGGCATTTCTGCCAGTACTCTGCATGGCCGCAGAAGCACACATCAGCCTCAGTTTGGTGCCAGGTGACCTTTATAAGGAGGCTCATCACTTTCTCAAGTTGCTGGATGATCTCTAGCTCCCAGTGCCCTGTTCCTGTTTCCTGTTACCAACTTGGCTTGCTCCTGGACCTGTCTACTCTGCTTTACCCCTGATCTGACCTTGGCATGGCTTACGGATACTCTCTCTCTCTCGCTCCTCTGTGTATGACCTCGGCTATCTCATCTGACTACGTCTGCTCTGATTCCCACCTGGTACCTGACCTTGGCTTGAACCAACTACCCAGTAAACATCTAAATCCCGGAAGGGCTTGCATACCACGCACAGGCGCCTCCTGTCTGCAGACCTATCTCTGTGCACCAGCTGTGCTTCTGAGTGGACCACCAACCAGCACTCCTAAAGGGGACATGTGCAACTTTGGGCCTGACTCCCGCTGTCCCACTCTCAGGGGAGTCCGGAACTTAGCCGCAATGGAAGCCCTCTCTCCATTGGACTCAATCACCAGGTACGTGATAATGCAGTTGCTCGGCCATGGAAACCCATTCCATGAAGCTCTCTATGCACTGTTGTGCTAATCTGAAGGCCACATGAAGTTTGGAGGTCTTTATCTATTGACTCTGCAGACCGTTGGCGACTGCTTCGCACTGTGTGCTGACCCCGCTCTGTCATTTTACATGGCCTACCACTTTGTGGCTGAGCTCCTGTTGTTCCCAGTTGCTTCCACTTTGTGATACTATCACTAACAGTTGACCGTGGAATATTTAGTAGCAAGGAAATTTCACAGGTGGAAACTTATGACGGTACCACGCTTAAATTCACTGAGCTCCTGAGAGTGACCCATTCTTTCACAAATGTTTAATAAAAAGAAAAAATATCACCGCACTATTGGCTTGTATCCAATATTATATGTCCATAAGTCCCAATAAAGTCTAACTAATAACCGCTTCAGATGGCAGCCGTCTTAAGGGTATGTATAGGTGCAAGAAATAACTGTGCCTTACGTGCTCTTTTGTCCCATATGGGCTAAAAGACTTTGTAGTTTAATGGTGTATGTCTTACCTTTTTAAGAATTTCATAACTGCTCATCTGACTATGTAGTATACCGCTCTTCTTATTTATTTATTGATGTACTTGTGCTAAGCATACATGTGTGTTTTTATTTATCTTGTTAACACTTCAGCCCGATAAATAGAATGTTAGGCATTGCACCCCTAGGCCTGTAGAAGGAGCAGTCAGCTCCGAGCACTTATCCTTGTCTCTTCCCTTCAGTTCGCTGCATCTCTGCCCGGCTTGCGGTTCTCGTTGGTCACAGGCATTTCCGGTCAGACTAGGTGCCTGAGACTCCTGACCATCTCCAGCAGTCCAGAACCCCGTTACCATCCACAGCGGCCAGCACCCCATAGGATGGACCCCTGCAGGACACAGAAAAGGCTATACTGATGAGCTTTTTAATCACCTTCACATTGTGAGTTTTTACTTTTGTGGCTCATTAAATATTCCTTTTATACTGCACTTAGAAGGCATGCCTAGGTGCTTGATTTTATACACCTGTGGCCATGTAGGTGATTAGAACACCTGAATTCAATGATTCAGAGAGCTGGCCAAATATGTGTGTGTGTGTGTTTTTTTTTTTTTTTATTATTTTTGAAAAGTAGTTTAGCCATGTTGAAGTCATATTGTCTTTTTTTTAGGTTTTCCATGTAATGTAGAATTGTCTGTTAACACTTTCCCGCCCGGCCTATAGCAGATTGATGGCTGGGTGGGACACTCCCCCTTGTGACTGGGTGTCATATGACATCCTGTCAAAACGAGCTGCTCACGTGGGACCGTGAGATCTGTCACCGGCTGTATCCATGGAGCACAGTCGTTGACATATCACTACAGCGGCCCGTTGCCAATGTCATGTGACCAATCACAGCAGATCACATGTCAATTGTATACAATGGATGGCTTCCTGTCATGCCATCCATTGTATGCAATTTTGTTGTTAGCTGTGACAGGTCAAAGCGTCACATGATACAGACTGGGCCAATCACAGCCCATCTGTATTATGTGATGAGCTTTGCCCAATCACAGCTAATCACAACAAAATACTGAATGAATCAGTTTCATTCAGTAACAATGGTTGCAAATATCATTGAAATACATTGGTATTAGCAATCAATGTGTTAAAAAAAAAATCCTGATCACTTGCCCAGAGTAATTCAATGTTACTATGGTAACATCGTATTACTTTGGTCATAGGTGTGTTGAAAAAAAGAAAAAAGTTTTCCAAAAAATTGTAAAAAATTACAACCTCAAAAAAAAAAATACTCACCATGCCTTTTAAAATACATTTAACTGTCTATTTTCCAAAAATGGGTGATTTTGGGGGTATTTCTACTATCCTGGCATTTTTGGGCCTCAAGAAATGAGATGGGCCGTGAGTATATCAGGATTAATCAATTGCTAGATATCTAAACACCTTGGTTTGTGGACTCTTACTTTCCTACAGAATAAATAATATTCACTAATTTGGGTATTTTAAAAAAAAAATGTAGAAGAATACATTTGGACCTAAATTTATGACGGTGTTATTTGCAATATTTTATAACAGAAACTAAGTAAAATGAGTGTGTCAGGGATCCCTCCATGCAGCCGTGCGACGGCGCTGGATCCCCTCGGGCTGCAGCGGTGCGAGTGCGCATGCGAGCACACGCATGCACAGTAGCGTACACGTCACCGCAAGGTGGGCTATTTAAACCTGCAATACAGTTTAGTCAATGCCTTCTGGTCCATAACGTTCTGAACTCCATAACCTGATTCTGTTGCCTGTATCTGATCTGACCTGATTAAGAAAGAACTCCGCCTGCACCGACCCGGCTTATCCCTGACTATCCGCTTGCCTGCTCCCTTGTACTTGATTTGCTCGTTTGATCCTGACCCGGTTTGTCTGACTCTGCTGCACCTACTTACCTGTACCTGCACCTGGCTTGTATCCTGATTGCTGCCATACTTACCTGCTGCTGCACCCACGGTCCTGCATCCTGGTCACCGGCATACCTGCCTGCTGCCGCATCCACACTCCTCTGTCCGTTCCCAGTCTGCATCCTGATTGCTGCCATACCTGCCTGCTGCTGCACCTACGTTCCTACATCCATACCTGGCCTGCATCCTGATCTCCTGGGTCTCCCCTGCCTGCCACCAGCTCCAGACCTACCCGGCACTCGTGCCACTCCTGGCTCTGTTCCCACTCCCTCTGTTCCCACTATCCCACTATCACGGGCTCCAAGCAGGAGTAGTAAGAGGACACCTCCTCTCCACGTCAGGCTCCCCAACCAGGTACGTGACGTGTTTTTCAAAGTTTTCAGTTTTATTTAACAAAAAATAAAAAAACTCAGTGGTGATTAAATACCACCAAGAGAAAGCTCTATTTGTGTGGAAAAAAAAAGATAAAAATTTCATATGGGTACAGTGTTGCATGACCACGCAAATGTCAAAGTGCGACAGCGCTGAAAATGCCCGGTATTGAAGTGGTTAACTATGCTGATAAGTCAGCATGTCCACAATTAAGCTACAAGGCCATAGGATCTGAAAGTACAGCCAATAACTCTGTAAATACTTACATTAAAAAAAAAATGCTAAGTGTTAGTCACAATAAAAAGGTCATTTTGTAATGATATAGCTGCTCTCAGCTATTAGATTCTCCCCAGTGGAGTTTGCCTTCTAGGCCAGGACTAGTTCCGCCTAAATGTAAAGAGTTTTCAGGTTATAGGTGATAAGTGTGGTCTGTGATCAAAATGTAAAATATTGATCAAAAGAGGAGAGATTGTAAAGGAAATTTGTAAGTTCTGTATAAAATTGCATTCTATTTTGCATGCTTTGCCTATGTTTTGCACACTGCAGTCATTGTGCACACGGCATGAATGTTTTTATTTTATTATTTGCATTCCTTCCAATCCGGATTAAAAATTAGCCTGCCTATGTAACACCCCTTGTTACCATAAAAGTAAAACTATAATAATAATGTGATACTTACGTAATCCTGTGTATTACGGTTAACATAAGGTGAGAGTTCCACAAGAGTACTGTAGCAATTATTCCTTTTTGTGGTGGCACGTTAGATCAAATGGCATACAATAGCACTTATAAATTTAGCATGGGTTGTATAGATTGGTCTAAAGATGGCTAGGTAAATGTACACTTACGTAGAGTCGGCATATGATGCGCTGCTGCTGCTGGCTAGAATTATTGGTTCACCCAAAATCGACATGCAAGTGTTGGAGGATTGGTGGCTTTGTTTCCAAAATACAGGAAGTAATCTGTCTGAGGGATCCCAATACCTGCTGCCATGCCTGCTGTGCATGTGGTCCCTGGATGACAGATGATGGTAAGGAAAAACGCTCTGACATACTATGGATCTGATTGACCAATTTCACTAAGTATAGGCGTAGCTTAGCTTCATCAGGATAATAGATTGGGGCATTCAAAGAGTATACTCTTCCCTAAGTCTTCTGTGAAAGAGAAACAAGTTGTGTGTAACATACTTTCATAACACAAGCAGTGTCAATATTTTCAGTACCCACAAGAGTTTTTGGAGAGACATTAAGAGCAGGAGATCATTCATATAAAGGTTTTTAAAGAAGAAATAACCCTGGATAGATCATTTATATCTAGAAAGAGGGATTATTTGTATTACTCAGCCATGCTGGTCTATAATAAGGAGGCTTTGTGAAGCACTATTAGTTAATGTCTGTCCCCTTATTCATATATTGCACAAGTTGCTCTCAATATATAAGGTAAGAAATTAGGAAAATTAAATAAATTTAATGAAACCAAAATGAGAGATTGGCGGGGGGGAGTATGGCCGAAGAGAGAGAGGGGGGACCAAAAGACAAGAAATTGGAGAAGGGAAACGTTAGTCCTGTTCATGGATTTTCAGTTTTATTAACACTCCAAAAAGGGTTGTAGACTAAACTCTGTATTTAAACCTAAAGGGTCCAAAGTCTTTAGTTTATATACTGTATCCACATTTTTTTCATTTCTCAAAAGCACATTGTCATAGTCTCCTCTTCCTGCTGGTAGTTTTAGCACATAAATACCTTTCATTGAAGCTGTCCAGTTTGCCATTGTGGAATTTGGCAAAATATTGTGCCACTTTGTATACTAATAAAAAATCTTGTTTACAATACAATTGTTTCTTATTATTAGCTACATATGTCACCTGAAATAACCATCTTTTTTTTTAACTACAGCACATTTTCTGTAGTTTTGATTTTGTAATTTACGATCCTGGGCTTAACACTGGATGCCCGATGTCACAGGCAGCTGCTCCAGCTCTTGTCCCTGCCGGGTCCTGTGGGAGTCCCCAATCCCTGCCGCCACTTTAAATCAGCAATGAGTTAAATAGCCACTATCCCAGTACCTCTGTAAAATGATGCTGAAGACTGAAGTGGTCAATCTCTAGCATTGGGGGGAGGGGGATTTATTTTTGTCACTCTCTCATGGAGATACCATTTTGCATTATTTTATTACTGACTGAGAAGTCAATCCTACACCCACTTCCTGCCAGAGTCTGTCCAAGTTCAGGCCTGTCACCAACACCACCTGGTGAGTTCTGACCCTGCCATTAGTGTGTTCATTACTCCTGACCCCTCCATTCTGTGCATTACTTACTCCTGATGCCTGCATTCTGTACGTTACTCCTAATCCATGCTTACTCCTGACCCAAACTCTGTGTGTTACATACTTTTGATCCATGCAATCTGCACATTTTACACCTGAACTCTGTATTAGGAACTCTTGAACCAGAGTAGAATAGTCTCAGGTTTTATTTAATCATATCCCTTTAAGCCCCTGCCACAGTAAGCACAGTTTG